AAACGCTGCTACGCGCTCGCTACGCTAATGTCATGGCAGATGTTCGGTTGAACTACAATTCTTGGTTACACCAATCCAGACGTCCACGGCTAGGACCCGCCAGGCCACGTACACTGAGTTGATTGATCCTGATTCCCAGATCAGGATCAATAATATTCCTGAATTTTCTTTGAATCTTATCAAGGAGCTTAAGTTAAATAGCAGGAGCACCAGGCCTTCATCATCATCATCATCCTGCGGCCTCAGCCGAGATTGAACTCACTACACCTCTCCAGTATTCCCTATCTGTCATAGCACCTAAAAGATCTTCTTTAGGGATCAATGTGTCTCGTTTTATCCTATCTGGAAAGGTTAACTTGCGTGATCGATTGACAGATGATGGGTGCCTCCAGAGTAAAATGATGACACAAGTTCATCTGTGGCACGTGCACAATGCCCGGCGAACTGGACACGTCTTTTGCAAACTAAGGTTGATACTCTCGGCAAGTCTCCATATATCATTTCTAGAGTTGGGCGGTTTCGCCATGAGAGATTAAGCACTCTTCTTAAAAGACGTGTATAACATCCATCTAAACGAAGCTGTTGTTTTGCTGAGAGAGTCCAAGTTTCAGAGCCATAGAGTAAGATTGGCTCAATAAGTACGGGCCTTACATAGCAGCAATTTTCTAATCATAGACAAATGGTAGACTTATAGATATGTAAGATAGATTCTGGAGAGAAAATTTGTCTCGCACTATACAATGAACCAACTTACTTAGCAGCTGAACTTGCAATGGATTCAGTATAGATTTTCCATCTCATGTCAGCTGAGAATGTTAGCCAGAGAAGTTGCAACGGGTCACTTTCCTGGGGGTTAGTATCAGCCATGCTGATAGAAAGCGGCGAGGAGTCTTTCAGATGATTTAATAGATTTGTTCACTCGTAAAACAGGGAAATATTTCCCGGGGAATAATTTTTCAGATTAGTATATTTTAGATCTTTCTCAAGCTGCGACATTTGTGAGAATTTAAAAGTGGGGCTGGTTTCCTGGTTATAATATCGACACGGTATCAAATCAACCTCTGGCTTTTACAGAGTTATCTGCATTTAGTTTATATATAAAAATGTCATGCCTTGAAAATCTGCTGACGTCATTGATATCTGATTTTTTTTTATACTTTTGTTACTTGTGCTTTTTTTTTCGTTAATTAAAAATGTGAAACTACTTACAATATATATATATATATATATATATATATATATATATATATATATATATATATATATATCTGCTTGTTTTTAATAACAAATCTTTTGGTAAGAAATTTAAAAGGTTTCGGCAAACGACTACTTAAAGTATTTTCTTAAAATAAAAAAATATATAATATATATATATATATATATATATATATCTTACTTATTATAAAACGCAGGCTGTGTGTTTGTGTGTGTGTGTGTGTGTGTGTTTGTGTGTGTGTGTGTGTGTGTACGTTTATATATTGGATCGGATTTCCTACATTTTTCAACCGATTTCAACAAAACTTCACAGGACTACGTAAAATTACCTTGCGGTGGTTCTGACAGTGCCAAAAATTGGAAAAAAACAATTGTTTTTGCATGAAATCAATTTGAAAATACTATTCTGTCGCCAGAATGAAAGGGGGACAACTCATATCGAATTATACTTATTATAAAACCCAGGTTGTGTGTGTGTGTGTGTGTGTGTGTGTGTGTGTGTGTGTTCGTTTATATATGGGATCGGATTTCCTAATTTTTCAACCGATTTCAACAAAACTTCACTTTTTTTGGCAGGTAGTGTTTCTTATTGTCTTGCACACTTTTTTCTTTATTTTTACATTCAGAATGCTTTAAAAATTCCATTTACAAGACAATTGTTTATAATAAAATTCTATTCAATCGGTAGACTCATAATGATTGAAAACAATGTTTTTGTTTGAGTTTGGGTTTGACCAATTCGTAAAAAAAAAGAAACAAAACTAATTAAGACATGCGTGTCCGTCAACCTTAAACAATAATCTTTGTCAATTTTCTTTTTCAGTCTTTATGATGGTCGATACTTGATCTATCTCTTACTGTTACATCCCCGGGCAACGCCGGGTTCTACTGCTAGTATATATATATATATATATATATATATATATATATATATTCCTCACCGGTAGCACAACTTTCAGTTCCACGCACAAGGCAATTGTTATTTTATTTTATTGTATTTTCTTGGTTTTTGTCTGGCTTGATTGTCCTGCGCGCTCTATTCATCAGAATAAAAATCAGTGTAAACAACGTGAGTTTGTTGGGGCTCGCTGTCATTTGTCTCTAGTTCCTTTTGCTACTTTTTTCTCCTCCCACAACTTCCTTTTTTATTGTACATTTTTCTGTGTTAATTTTAAATTAAATCTACCGTCGAAGCCTGAAGAGCGAGAGCGAAACCGGTTGCTTTGCCCGTTTTTAATATGTCTCGTAATATTAAGTTTCATACTTTTATTTCGATCATTAAATTTTGTACCTACAAAAATATCTTTTAAATATATATATATATATATATATATATATATATATATATATATATATATATATATATATATATATATATATATATATATATATTGGGTGTCCATAAAGTTCGTGTGCACTTTAAAAATTTATAACTTTATTTGTATTTGAGATAGAAATAATTTGTAAAAAATGTTATAAAGTTTAATGTACTTAGTTTTAAGTATATATATATATATATATATATATATATATATATATATATATATAAAAGAAAGAACAGTAAGATATAAAATCCGGTGTTCTTATAGATATTTTTATTTTTTTTTACAAAATAGTGCTCAATGTAAATTTACAGAGCATTAATATTATAAATTAATTGATTTAAAATATGTTTTTTTCCGCTACACAGTTCCAACCATGTTTCAAAAATAGAAGCTAAAAACTCCGAATTTATATATATATATATATATATATATATATATATATATATATATATATATATATATGTCGGTTTGATCGTTATTTAAAATAATTCTTTATAAATTAGAAAAAATCATTTCGCCCCAGACGAAGCAGTAAAACCTCTTAGGCGTAAGCGTAATTATTATAAATAATATCACCATTCATTCCACTGCAAGTGAACTTCAGCAACTGATATGACAGAAAGTCGTTATCGCACAATTTTTAAGCCTGTACGTCCATGAAGCGACATAAATTTATCCAAAATATTACAATTACATGCAGAGTAGCACTTGAAAATCAAAAAAAAAAAAAACTTATTGATTTTCAGGTGTTACTTTGCATGTAATATTTTGGATAATTCTATATTTATACAGGAGATGAATGATATTTAAGGAATATTTTTTGGATTATTAATATTATATTTGAAATGTCTCTTCACGGGTTAAATATATGGTGCGATGGATAATTTGAAGCAATTTTATATTGTTAATTTCGCACCTGAGTGTTGTTTGTTTTTGATTTTGTTGACTGCACACGATAGTAGGGTCAGTTGGGCACCATCTATGAGACAAAGAGCACCATGACGCAATTCACCACGCCAGAAATTTTGAAACGGCGTGTACTGAGAAAGAATAAAAAAAATACTATTAAAGAGGGAGAACAATAAAGGAACAAGAATTAAAAAGATAACGATTGATTTTGCGTTTAAATTTTTGGAGATCAAAGCTGACTGGGAAGCAAGAGGCCGAAGGAGAATTCCAAAAGCGAGGAGTGTGATAGAAGAAACTGTTAGCATAGAACTTACGGTTACATCTAGCCATTTCAACTGTAAAATGTGGAGACCTTGCCGCCATTCTAGTACCGTGTGTAAATTCATAAAATTTGTGTACCAAATAGGAAAGTTCATCAGAACAATTACAATCATTACAAAAATTACAAGTATTTATAGATAAAGCATAGAAAACAGACGTTATGACGGTGGGAAAGTGACTGAAGCCGAGATGCCAGGTCAGGACCAGTAACATTGGAGATTCTTCTTTGGATTCATAGCAAGGACACCAAACCAGATGTGGTAGTAATATTCAACAATATAGACGAATAGCAGATTTATAAATATTTGAGATAGAATTCTAGCGAGAGAAATTGTCGAGCAGGAAACCAACTTTATAAACAAAAGTCTTTTTTATATTTCTGATGTGAGGTACTGTAATTATATACACAATTTATATTGTTCGGTGTAAACGAAAGTCTGGCTTCGTACTTATCAATGACGTAAAAACAGTTTCAAACTTGATATTTATAAGCAAACTTATAATTTCCGATACCTCAGCATAAGTCAGGGATTGACTTTAGACGGTGTTGATATCATAACAGCACCACACACCATCACCACTTCGACAATTATAAAAAAAACGACATTTTTCGATTCTGAGAAGTGTCGCGACCTAGAGAAGGTCTGCATAATGTTAATCTACAAAAAGTATCCACCTCCAGCCAAAATAAATAATTCCCTTATTTCTTTTTAATATATTCTACCAAACCGCTTTCGTAAAATTTTTTACGGGTTCCATGTTTTGGCAAAGACTTCATTAACGCTAACCAAGTGGAAATCGACTTGTCTCTTAACAAATTTCATAAATACAGTTCGGCTTATAGAACGCCTTCAGTTAGCAGTGCAGGAGATAACTACTACTGTACTGTACTGATGCGGCATTCACCCTGGGCGGATTGAGCCGGCTTCTTCCTGTTATGAGAAGAAGATTCTTGGGATAAATTACAGAAGTAGGGTACCCAGGCCTACTCGGATAACGTTCTTGCTTGCCGCGGGGTTCCCACAGACGCAGAGACAGGAACGACCAGAAGCCGCCGGTTACCGATGCAGACGCTCCTTGGATTTCCACCAGAGCCCTTGTTAGCCGGCGTGTGTGTCAGACCTGTCCTCCTTGGGTGGCCCTACCAGGAACGAAGTTCCGGGCGGCATAGCTCTGACACTACCGTTTACACCCCCCACCGACTGTGAGGTAAGGGTTGGACTTTGGGGGCTTACAGTACTAGGTGTTCCCAAGCGTACTAAGTACTGACCTGGCTCTACGATGCTTAACTTCGGTGATCGAACGAGAACCGGTGTTTCAGCGTGATTTGACCGTAAGCTAGTGCAGGAGATAACTCCTGAAATGCTTCAAAATGTGTTTCGCAACGCTCAGGATAGATTTGAAAATTTCAGGCATAGAGACTGGGCACATGTTGACAATTTTTAATAAGTTCTTGACGAAAGATTTATTAATCTATTTGTTTCGTATCACAATTAAGTAAAAAAAAAAACCAAAAAAAAAACCGCCTCTTCTACTCAAACAGCTTCTTCTCCCGCACTTCCAGTCTGTGAAACTCCCTTCCCCTTACTTGCTTCCCTGATGACTATAATCTTCAAATAGTCAAGTGTAATGTCAATCTGAGCTTGTTCCTCGTCTTTCTCTGTGTCCTTTCCTCAAACAAATCTCTTTACTCTTGTTCTCAATACTCTGTAACCCCTTGCGGGCGAGTAGCACTCCCGCCTTGCTTAGGGTGAATTGCTTTAAAAAAAATTGTGCCAGTTTTTTTAAAAGATTACCTGATTTCTTTGAAATAGTTAATTTTGAGCCCCCATGTATTATCGTATGCCTCAAAACTGATGGTATGTCAAATGAAAAACGACAGATGTCACGGTAAGTCAGAGAAACAAAGGAAACTTTGATCAGTTTGTTCCAATCGAAGCAGATCAACTAGAGATATTGTAGCGATTAATTATCTCACCTTGTCTATCAAGACGCCCGCTTGGTGCCGTTCTATTCAGAACTGTAAAGTAAAAGGTTCACTCTCTCTTTTTTTTTTTTTTTTTTTTGACATAGAGTGTAGTAGAGACAACATCCGTTTTTGACTGCACTAGGGAGAGCTTTCTTTCCACGGTCAAACCTACTTTTTAATTTCATACAACCACGTGATTGCTTCCGCAGACGCGCGTGCACGCACGCACACACACTATGGCTAAGTACATATACGTTTTCTTTCCTTTTATGAAATCGTGTACACGTAAACATAATTTCCCTTTCCTTGGAATAAAAATGAAATCAACATTTTCAAAATAAACAAATACAATACGTGGAGGATTTATATATATATATATATATATATATATATATATATATATATTTATATGAAGAATAATGTAGCCCGCAAAGTTTCCTTCGTCATCAGTCACAAATTCTAACCTCTCCTACTACAAACTGGTGACTAACATTAATACAGTAGTGTTGGATTTCGGTGTTAAAATGAACAATTGATTTACCCACTCCAAGGAGATTAATAGAGAACGATTATGTCGAGGAAACACACGGGTAATTTTAAAGAAACAAGATAAGGAATTTATTTGCGAATTTACACGCTTGAAGTTGTGTCAGTAGCTCGATTCAGGAAAATAAATCAGAAATTGTTAAAGTCCGTGGGAAATGTTCATACAACAGATCAAATGATCTGACACACAATAATAAAAAAATTTTAAAACAAACATAAGAGAGTTCGTTGTTCACAGAAGGGATATACTGTTTGCATACATTCAAAAGTAAACGAAGAGACATAGTTTGAAATACCTAGCTTTCTTGGGTTGTTAAAAGAAAATTCTTTGAAGGGTCACATGTTAATATTATAAATCGCGAGTAATTTTACACTGACAAGTATTTGAACGCTGGAGGTGTGAAATGAAATGAAACCTTTCACATGACTTAAGAAATTCTTCTCTTATTAATTTAATTTTTCTCCTCATTTTATATCAAAAGGACTTTCACATAGGCTCACAATTTTCTTTTCTTTCTTCTTTTTGGCTCAGCGGCTAATTTCTATGGAAACAAATTCATATAGGCTCCCGAATTTCTATCGGATTTTTCCTTCAGATCAGCCGAATTTGAAGAGAGTGGGTAAAGGGAACTATTAGTATTTTGTACTCACTACAGTAACTTCCTGCATTCCTCACGACTGTAACACTTCTTTTCTTTTTTTTACACTTAATGTAACTTGTAGTAAAAAAGATTGTTGCGTTTTATTTACCGATAAATTTAACAATCCAATAACAACAGTTATACTAAAAGATAGAAAGAAGAGTAAAGGAAGAAAAAACAAATGTTTCCAATCTCAAGACGATAATTTCTAAAATATTTGGGAAATATTAAAACTGCGTAGAGTAGATGCAGAGTGTGGGAGACAAAAACAAAACATGACGAAAATAAAGATATTTTATTTTTCTGTTAAAAAAATTCTTAGTAAATTTAATTCAGTTATTTCGTAAAAAAATAAGTAAAATGGGGTTTTAATAAGCAGACAATTGCCGCCATCTTGAATTTTACTGCTTTCCTACTGAGTTACAGTGTGCTCGGCCAATAGAACATTAGACAATAAAAATAAAACGTACGTAAATTTTTACAGACGACTGGATAAATAAGATTTGTTATCGAAATTTATAAATAATCGGCTCAAACATATAGAATGTATGATTATTTCTCTAAGTTTGAGTTGGTTAAAAATATATAGTTTGTTAATATTCTGAGTTTCGGAAACCTGGGCCTTCTATCAACGGCAGACTTGGCCATTCCAGCATATCTTTCTTCACTTTCTTCCAGTCGCAAATTAATTGATAAGATACTCGGTGGATCGTCTCTATGTTTTGTTTTTTTTTTTGTTTGTTTGTTTTTTGTTTTTTTTTTTTGGCGGGGGGTAGTTCTTTCGAATAAGCGTCTGGGCCCAAGAATTACTTTCTATGCCATTAGACAAAACAGAAAAGCTGGGATAAAATAAAATGCGAGGCCAATTTTACTAAATTCAGGCTCTCTCTCTCTATCTGCTTCACAACCGAGGTGTAGCGCCTGGCTCAACGCAGTTCCCTCTTCATCTACCGGTACCCTTCTAGATGATGAGTGCACTAGGGTCGGAGTCGCGATCTGTCTTGGGCTCAAATTATGTGAGCGTCACAGATGCAGATGTGGAGCTTCCCTTGATGAGTTTGGTTTGCATCCTCTCTCCTGTCGTAGTGCAGGCCGCTTTCCAAGGCATGCAGCAATAAACGACATCATCAGAAGAGGTCTGAATGCAGCTGGGTTCCCTTCCCAAATCAAACCGGTAGGCCTCGACCGTGGTGATGGAAAGCAGCCGGATGGGATTAAGATTTTCCTTTTTAAAGTGGGGAAGTCGTTGATTTGGGATGTGACCTGTGCCGATACATTTTCGATCGGTAATTTGGTCAGGTCCGCGGATTAGACGGGGGGGGTGTCTTGTCTGTCGCACGGGACGCCGAGATAAAAAAAAAATAGTTAAATATTCTTCTCTTGCGGTCAGATTTATTTTTACTCCAGTGGCAATGAAGAGTTCTGGGGTTATTGGCCCTCGTTCGATGGCGTTCCTTCGGAGGGTTAGTGGGATTGCGTCTCAATTTAGGGACGTGCCTTGCGAAAGGCTGTGGCTCTTGCAGCGCGTCTCACTGGCGATAGTGCGAGGTAATGTTTTCTCCATTATTGCTACTGGCAGAGGATAGCAAAAAAATAAAATAAAATAAAAAGCATTTTGTTTTTGTTAATAGAAACTTTGTTCAAATAAAAACTTTATTATTCAGAAATTTAAGAAATAAAAGATATTAAAATTTGCAGAAATTTGGTCATTCATTTTGCTTAAAAAAGGTCGTCAGCAAGTGACACAAAATATAGCATCCTTTTGCCAAGATTTTTATTGGTCAAAAAATAGAAATGGGACTATTCAAATTTGTTATCTTCCGAGTTATATGAGGTTTAAAATAGTCACCACTTTGTTGTGGGATTTTACACTATTGATACGAGCGCGTAAATGTTTTATAGTAAACATTTATGGGCGCCTGGAGCATTTATCCCGCAAACAATATTGGCGGACTCATCTTTTGAGTCGAGGTAATAAAGTAACATAAAACAATGAATTTAAAACAAAAGGTATTCATATGCATGTTTTAACAAATGAAATTGCATGTGCACGCAATTTAAATGAAAGGAAAAGACATTGAAACTAGCTATAAGAACAAGTTTGCGTGTGTTTGTGTGTGAAACAAGTGTATGTATATTTTTTCACACAACCCAGTTTTGCGGAATCAGAATCAACGTTGACTTTAAGCAAGCGAATGAGCCTATTGGAGTAAAGTGCCATGCAGATTTAAATTTTTCCCACTTGTGACGAATGCAGCTATCGATGTTTTTTGCATGCTAGTTAACATTCGTGTCAGTCAGCTGTTGGTTCTCACGCTGGCCAATAGAATCTTTCTGCCTATTCGTGGCAGCCAGCTATAGGCTCTCACTCTGGCCAGTAGAAAATGGCCGCAAACTACATGAAAACAGCCGTAGAAGCATGAAAAAATCGATTATTTCCTGGCCTTCCCGCTAACTTGGAGCATGTGCATATCAATTTTGGTGCAAATCCGTCGAAAATTGCGGCCGTGCATTCGTTACGCACACACACACACACACACACACACACACATATCCTGCCTTTTATAGATAGAGATATGGTTTTCACACTGAAAAACAAGATAGAGAAAGCCCAACGGTTGGTATGGTTGTTACGAATTGTAGTTGTTTTCCAATGCTTCACGTTGAGTTTAAATTTTTAAGGTAGCCCGTTTGTTTGTTGTATGGAATTCTGTTGGCGACACAAAAATTAACAGTTAGAAAAAAGCATTGATTTACAAATCTGTCGAGCTGAAGCTGATGAAATTGATACCGAGTGTCGAAGCATCTTTCGTGAGAAATTTCGAAAATATCTGATGTTATTATCGACTTTTTCTGGTTATCTCCGGTATGTCTAAATCATACTTTCAGAATTCTTCGTGGTTCTTCTTAAACTTTGAGGCGTCAGATGAAAAAGAAAAAATAAAAGCAGAAAATTCTACACATTTAGAGAGATATACATTTATCTTTCCATAGTTGTTCGTGAAAGTTTCTCAAAAATTAGCGGTATTAACCCTGAACCTTTTGAGAAAATACGAGATTCATCTCAGTTTGTAGAATTGAACTATTGTCTAAATCAACAGGAAACCAAAAAAACGCCCGTGAATCGTCAAATTTCTCAACTCCTTTCGACACTCGAATGAAACGAAGTAAATATTTTGCT